AACTGATGGTTATTTTTTTCTCTGCTTTTATTATTATTTTAATATTTAAAAAATATTAAATAATTGTTTTTTAGTTTTTAATAATTTTTTAATAGAAAGTATGTCCCGAATCAAGCCACGTCAGAACTTAACAGAAAAATTGACGGAGGTATGACATTGTCACAAATTTGTAAGATGCGGTATAACATTGTCAATTTTAAAAGATGAGGTATGAAACTGTCGTGACCCCAATAGTTGAGGTAGTTTTTTGTACATTACCATTTTTTTTTATAATTTTACTTTTATTTATTATTTTAATATTTAAAAATATTAAATATTTTTTTTAGTTTTTAATAATATTTTATTAATTTTTTAATAGAAAGTGGTCCCCGTCTATTGCCACGTCAGCATTTAACAGAAAAACTAACAGAAAAATTGACGGAGGTATGACATTGTCACAAATTCGTAAGATGCGGTATGACATTGTCATTTTTAAAAGATGAGGTATGAAACTGTCATGACCGCAATAGTTGGGGTAGTTTTTTGTACTTTACCCTATAATTTTTTATTTAAATAATTAATTTACATATTTTTTAAAAATTATTTAAAAAAAAGAATTAAAAATGTGAAACCACCCACTAACTGGGAGGTTTTGTTTTTGTATTTTTTTTCTATAATTTTAAATATTAAATTCATTCAAAATAAAAATATGATTAAATACTTTAGCTTCTTTTGGTTCAATTGTAATTTATGAAATTCTTAAAAGGCAATTTATGGTATTTTGAATGTTTCACCATTTTAGGGTGCTCACATTATATATATAGATAGATATATAGAATAGATGACATAGGGGTGGCTACCAAACCTAACTCTATGCCAATCACCATTTAGTTTTCCATACTAAGGGCGTTTGATAACCGTTTTCAGTTTTTAGTTAATTTTTTTTAATTAAAATTTTGTTTGATAACTACATTTAATTTTCAATTAAAAAAAATAAAAAATAAAAACTGAAAATTCAAGGGAAATTTTGAAAACTCAAAAGTAGTTTTAACTTTTGGTTTTCAATTTAAAAAAAAAAATGAAAACTGAAAATAGTTACCAAATAAAATTTTAGTTTTGAAAAAGTAATTCACCCTTCTAATTCCGAACATGTTATTATTTTTGGTCCAAATTATATCTTAATTATCAACTACCTAATCCAAATGCAGCATTACATAGCGTGTTTGGATGTCGTAAACTTCTGCTTCTTTGCTTTTAGTAACCTATTGCAAAGAAAGAACGCAAACCCTCGGTATATAGAAGATTTAGTTGTATTGTTTTGTTGTGGCACAAAAATGTGATACATTACTACATTTAACAGTTCTCGCGACGAAACGTTTGCCGCACAAGGATGATTTTCGTCCCTTAAGCATTCGCGATGAAAACTTCGTCGCAAAGATGTTATTGCGGAAAGCTTGTGAAAAAATCGTTTGTGCGATGAACGAAATATAGTTTGTCGCGTAAAATTGCTTGCACGACAAAGGACAAATTCATCGCATAAAATATTGCAGAACGAAAACATGTGGCCACGCAGACTAATGGTGACAATATTACGACGTTAGGTAATATCACACACGAGGAACACCTTCGTCAAATAATTTTAATGTTATTTAACGGTGAACATTTCGTTGTTTGGGAATATGCGCCAAAAATTTTTTTTGTTGCTTTTATTGTTATGCGACGATGATATTTGTCATGCAAGGTTTAGAAATTTACTTTTTTACTTTTTTTTTATTATTATTTTTAGTTTTAAAACTTCCATAACTAAATAAATACTTTGAAAATATTATAATTAAAAACAATAATAACATTATGTAACTATACTATAAATGCAAATGTACGTATAAGTCAAAATTTTTAATAACATCCAGGAAAAAAAAAAGCCTAATAAAAAGTGAAGAGAGGTCAACTACTGCATGAGGAGAATCTGGTGAAAGACAGATATCGGACAACTAAGGGGCTTGTAAGATCAAGAACATCTAACTCCCCTAGGCCGCGAACTGTTGCTTTAGGTCAGCCACTTCTTGCTTTAATGCAGTGACCTAGCTCGTGGGCTGCTTGGAAGAATAGACCGCTGTGTCCCGATGATGAGAATTTCCCATCCCCTGGTAAACCTTCCCGGCCTAGGACCCAGGACTTGGTTGAGAGTCTGAGTGAGGATATAAAGACTTGCATCCTCGGTCAGGGTCACGTTCTCGATCGGGGTGTCTAAGGGAAGCTAAGAAGTCACCTCTTAAAGAACAACCTAGCTCATCTCCACCATCGTCGTCTGTAATAATAAGACAAAACATATTAAAAATTAATTGCTAAATTGTCAGACCTTTGCACGACGAATTCGCAAAGTCTGTAGTAAATACCGCGCCTTAAATTGCTAACCCACTCATTGTGTGCAACACATATTTTATTGCTCAAATCTTTGCGTCGTGAACATTGCGTCGCGCAAACTTTGCAGTAAATATTTAGTCGTAAATGGGCCACTGACCATTTCTAGAATGTTTTGCGCGATGAAAACCGTGTCGCGCAAAGGTTTCGGGAGGTTTTGGCGCCAAATTTCCCCTACCCGCGTTTTTTCTATCTTTGTGCAACGAACAGTTGCTGTCGTCGTGCAAAGCCCTTTTGCTCGACTAATCTGTTTGTCGCATAAGGTGTTTAACAATATTTTTCGTCAACACGTTTTTACGCAAAAAAAAAAAAAATTTAGTATTACTTATGATTTTCAGGGTTTTTCCATAGGCTCAGGGCTCCAATCCGATTTTTTTACTTTAATTTTTTTTTTCTTCAGGTTTGATTTGAAGTTGGTGGCTTCTATGGAGTTCAGACAACCCGTTGCTTGTATGCTCTGAGGAGTGAGAGAGGAAGAAAGTCAGAGAGGCTTGGAGTTTAGGTTTAAGGAAGAAGATGATGAGGGCGACACCATACCAAACCCATATGACGGTGGTCAGTTTGGTCACCACAAAGCAGAGCAATTTTTGTAAGATCAGGAGACAATGGATGGTTGCTTGCCACAAGGCAGAGTAACTTTTGTAAGATCAGAAGAATGTTTCGGATTGAGATTTGTTGGGCCCTTGTAAGCTAAAATTCTGACCCTGCCACTATTTGTTTCAATACAATCATATAGATCTTCCATTAAAAAAAATAAATAAAAAAATAAATAACGTGCTCGACTCTTTTATAGAGAAACTATGCAGTTTCTCTATATGATTATATTTGAATTGCACCCATGTCAGGGTCCACGGAGTTGAGTTTTCCTTGAGCTTTAACCAAGTGCGGGGTTTGAAATATCCGGCAAGATACCGACAGCGGGGCCCGTCAAAGAAAGAAGCAAATAGAAGCGGATGCAAAGACACTTTCATCGGACAGGTATACCGTATATTGTTAATTTTTTTTTTTTAAATAAATGATATTATCTACACTAAAGGATTAGCCTCATAATGAACTAGGAATATGTGGTTCAAAATTATCTTTGGTGAGAATAGAACCAAATGCGGAGTTTAATGGTACAATGTTAAGTAGAGAGAAGGTTACACATAACATTACATAAACGCTACTATGACACTACACCCGTACCATGTAAATTCTCATGGAAGACTGCATAAGTGAAGAATGGAAATCCAAGAAATAGGCAATCTCATTAGCAATCATTATAACATTTCTCCTTATGGGGCGTCCGTTCATTGACCCGAAAAACATCATTAAACAAAGTGGAAAGAACGTAATACCATTTCCATAAAAGAAAAAAAGATGCATGACTTGACCATTGACAAATAAGAATAAGAAAATGAATACGAGCTTTTGGTGGCACATGACCACCTTCTCTTGTATGCTGGTTTTCATGAGTGAATTTTACTTGGAACAATGCTTGACTCATCACACATTCTTCTTTATCTGTAAATCACCGTCTGTCAAACATCTTACTAATAGTGACTTGGCTACAGAGCAAGAATGACTTCTTAGAGCAACTCCACCCCAAAAAAAATGCTCCAGCACCTAGCCCATTTAATCGACTCAGTGAATAGTGATAGACCTCAATAAACAGTAATAGGTCAAATGTATCTTCACCTTTACAAAATGCCCTGACACCCAATCCATTTAAAATATTATTAAATTTTTTATAAAATAATAAATAAAAAAATTGTTTTTATTTCGGATAAGATTTTTAACTAATATCGTCACGCCATGTGTCATTATCATAATAAAATTACATGAACTCATCAAATAAGCTTAAAAAACGCACTAAATATTCAATTTTAATTTAGGTAATTAATTTGGACCGTTGGATTTGAAAAATTTTCAAATCCAACAGCCTATAAATTGACATGTGGCCAACGGTCATAATTCTAACCGTTGTGCCTTTTTTTTTTTTTTTAATTATTATTATTTTTTTTTTGGGGGAAAAACATGAATCATTAATCTGTGATCCAATTGTCCAAATCAAAATTCAAATTCAAAATTTTTTGACCGTTGGAAATCCAACGGTCCAGAAAACTAGTCATTGGAAATCCAACGGCTTAGGACCCACCACGTGGCCTCCCTATCGGTGTGCTTAGTACATTTGTGCAAGCGGGCCCCAACTTTGGATTCTTGTCGACGATGCACGTCCAGTCACGTGTGCTTCCCAAGCGCTTGGCACAAAAAAAAATTCAAACGGCCTCTGACGCCACACTGGCATCAGCATGACGTCAGATGGGCCAGTCCACATGTATGTCGATTTTGGGCCGGCCTATGGCTTGTCTTGGGCTAGGTGCCAGCGTATTAGGCTGGGGTGGAGCATAAATGGAGGCCGGTCCATTTTTTGGATTCGGTGCCGGGCTATCAAGCCCCGGTGGAACTGCTCTTATAGGGAAGGAATGAGTTGTATGTTGGACAAGGGTTGGCCTACATAGAAAATACATAACCCCACATCGCCTGGGATTGATACGTGTGATCCCTATACACATGAACAACCTCCTCTTCTAAGCCCGTTTAACTGATTCTTGGTCAAGTAAAAGAATGCAGATATTCCATATGTCTATAGTAATTACTCTCGTGGTAAATCGAGAAAACCCTATGAAATTTTACTCTTTGAGTTGGTTTTCTGTAAAACTAAAGTGGCATAAATGAGCTCATTCCATGCATCAGGGACCCCAGGAACGCACCAATGGCTGCAGTCTTGCTTCCTTGTGGAAACTTTTTTGCCAGCAGTTGCATTCTTGCCATAGATTGATGGATGGCCATCTTTGCGGAAATTGGTCAACCTTGTCACATTCAGCAGCCTCACAGGAATCCGCATATCTTTGATCACTTCATCCACTATCTTCATTTTCAAAGGATAGTTATCAAGTATGGCTCCACTTAAGACTGGTTCTTTTTCTCCATTGCATGACCCACCTGAATCCCAATCTCCACCTCTGCTTTCAAGAGTTTGGAATTAATAGAAATATATCATATACGGGAGTTTCTAGTATGCTCTGGTGTGCTGTACACACGGGAACGTAATAAATTTTCGATCAAACACTTGCCATAATAAATAGAACACCGAAGTAATTGTTCCTTCTCTTAAGTGCTTAGGAATTTGTTGTAGGCGTTTGTTTATCCCAAAATTTGGTTCTGTTTCTCATCATATCAATGTAAAGTGGGAGACCTCCTAAATCAACCACCACTCGAACAAGACCACCAAAAAAATTTAGACAAAAATCCCCGGATTCATCTTTTATCTTTTTTGTTGGAATTTTGACAAAGCATGTTTTCCAAGACCAGAAAAGCAAATTACATAAAAATACTCTCCTAGTTGTCTCATATGAACTGAAAAGGACACGAAAGATGAAAGGATTAAGTAGTTGAATATACCTGAAATGGGCAGAAGAGTAACCACGATAGAAGACCAACTGCTTTGATGGATTAATATTATGATCAATCCAGTTTGCCCATGTCCTCAGAGCTCTTCTGTAGGCCTCAGATGCATCAAACTTTGGATAAAGATAATCTCCCTCTTTATAGTAGCTTTTCCTGTGAGAAGTAAGTCATATTACTCCAGTGCTCCAGTATCTTTTACAGAAGTAAAAATGGCCTAAAGAAGAGTTCATGCACCGCTCAACCAGACTACGTTTGAATTAGTTGTCATCAATATAAGCTAATCAAGTAATTTTCTTGGTAAGAAATGCATGGACATCAAATTACTTTTCAGCATTTCAAATTTTATTTATCCTCGCTGAATATTAACAGTACTATGGATGATCTTACGTTTTCAACCACCCAAAAAAAAATTTTAAAAGGAAGAAACGCCCAAAACAAACCAGTGGTGAACACCCCTGAATGAACCAGAAAACTATATTCCGATCTGCAGAACAAATGAACGAAAAGTAAATATGAGATAAGCATGTACCCTCGAGCAGTTTTTCCATGAGCCCACCAATGGCCAGTGTTAAATACAAGAATGTCAGCCCTCTTCCAACGTTTAGCAGTCTTGTCAATTTGATCTATTGAAAGAGTTGGATTTGAACTCCCTTGCGCATTAATGCGGACTCCTTCCTTCACCAGGAAATGTGACCTCACAAATTCTACTGTACAGTCATAGTCCTGTCCAAGATCATCAGAAACCCTCACAATCACTAAGGGTACTTAGTGATCCATTGACTCCCCAAATCTACGTTGACCTTAAAACGACTATGATGTAATTCTGCATGCTGAAATTCTAATTATGGAAAATTGGATTTAACTTTGATAATTTCAGCCAGAACAAAATATTGTGATGTCAATCCTTAAACCAAATGTGGAGTGTCTGTTAGAAGTTGTGTTCCAGAAGGTAAGCTTTCTATCAAACCTGGTAGAAGTCAATTTAGAATGATCAAACATGCGCACGGATGCATGCGTGAACTTGCCCACACACACACACACACACACACACACAGAGATTTAGCATGTTCAATGAAAGTACTTCTACCTTTTAAGTAACATGACTTATACATGTGAACCTTTCCAAATGGCTAATGGGGCTCGAAATTATACTAACCAATCAATGCTTGAGAAAGCAACAAGTTATCAAGAAAAAATTTCCTGAAGTGCAAATCATATATGTCCACGAAATGGAAAATTAGGAGCACAAGGATCTAAATTACCTCGAATTTGAAAACAAAGTAACCTCTTCCCTTAGTTATTTTGTGGCCATGAATCTCACGCATCCTGCTTTTATTATGCAAGCCCTCACGGAGGAGGCAAAGGATTGACTCGAACTGGTTCCGATTCATGGAATCTCCTACGAGCATCAACTTTTTACCCCGTAATCTCACCAAGAAGTCTGTTGCATTAAACCTACGAGTGACAGTGAGTGTCAAAACAAAATGTAATCCCAACAAATTGATAAATTTTCATTAACAAGGAGACAAATACAACCAAAGTAAAATAAGATGTTAAAATAATTATTCAAATACTGAAACAAATAGTTACTAGGAAATCCTTTTCAATAATGTTTCAGTGAGAACATGCCACAAAAATTACATTGAAATAAGGCTGGAAGTGGAACTAGTTACATTGCACTGAGGCTGGACATAGAACAAGTAGCATAAAACTTGAGGACTATGCAAACCATCAAACTCTCTAAACTCTAAACTTGTAGTCAAAGAGGCAAATGATGCTGCAGAATTGAAGGAACCAAACTGAGCAATCATGATATCTCTAGACTCCATTTGTAATTCATTTCCCAAAACCATATCTGATAGTTCAATTTGTAAATATACATCTGTAAACTACTCATTGCAAAAATATCAGTATTCAGCCCTAATTTTATACTGGTCCAATATTTCCCATGGCAGTTCAAATATATGAATGACTCATCTTTGGCAAGGAGATGTTTCAATCCTTCAAATTCATGCAAGGTTATTAGATGCTCAACATCACTGGCTGTGCAGGGGGGATCTCCATAAAGGGAAACTTAAAAAATTGGTGATTTCTTGAAACTATACATTAACTAGCTCCTTTTCTTAAAACTATACAGTTAACTAGCCCCTACTAAGATGTTAGTTGACTCCTGAATCCTGATCATCTCCATCGCATCCCTCATCCCTGCAGTCAAACCACCAGTTGCCATCCATGGGCATCACCTCTGTAACCAGATCACCATAACTCTTTAAGTTCACCTCTATGTAATGAGATCATTATCATCGATTGGCTTCACCTCTCTCATCAGATCCTGATCCAGTTCCAATTTCAATTCGTTGCACCATTTCACCATAATCATCATGCTATCTAAGGAATCATGTCCTTGAAGATAGGTTCTAGCTTTGACTACCTCCTATGATCCTATCATGGGTTCAATGATTCCCTTGATTTATCAAATGTGCCTTATTATTGAGAATTATTTATATATATGTACCTCCAATTACAGAACTCTAGTATAACAGCATAAAATTTTCCTTGGTGACATTTACTTAATGAGATTCCAAAATTCATATTTCATCACTGGCCTCAAGCCCTTTCTCATCATGAAGAAGCTGTTAATGAGACAGGAAAAAGCTGAATTTAGGCAACTTCCTAGGCATGAAGTCGATTTAGGAAAATATGCACATGTTTGGAAGAGTGATTAAACAGAGAGCACAATACCAATGGATGCAATGGTTGTAATGAATCTAGTGATAAGTGATAACCAATAACAAGTGAATGGGAGGTTGCCTTTTTTGCAATCTACAAACGGAGGGTCTAGAAACGCAGAATATCTGAACAAAATTTCTATTTATGACGAGACATTAAGCATCCTTTTCTCAGAAAGGTTGCTTCATGGGATAAAATAAATAAAACTTAGTTTTTCGTGAGAAGCTTCTGTTATCTATGTCCGTTACACAAAAAAAAAAAAAATTTCCAGACCTCGTCGATGCAAGCTTTCTCAAGCAAACAAGACGTTTGGCAACCTAAAGGGTCCTAAACTGTAATTGAGCTTGAACTTTAGTCAAATCTATATCCTTGGTAGACATTCAAATTAGATAGTACGAGTTAGTTATTGCAGCTACATGGAAGCCATTACGCATATTCTTCCAAAAGAAGATACCTCGGAAGATTACAACTACTTTGAACCACAACAGAGAAGAGACAATAATAAAGCAGAAAAGAGATACCTTGGAAGATCACATCCCTGAGGCTTCCACCGCCATTTGAGATACTCAGAGTCACTCCTTCCATTGCTCTGGCAATCAAAAGCTTCATCGACATATGGACAAGAACGCGGTTCGTAAAGCGGATAATGCTCGTCTTTCACCCAAGTCCCCGCATACAAATCACACCCAATTTCACCCATTTCCCCGAATGGGTTCCCATTTCCACTACCTGGGTCTTGCTCAGTTCCGTCATTGGACTCCGTCGGCTCATCGGTTTCTGAATTGGACGAAATGGGTTGGTGGGTTGGTGGCTCCTCTGGTTCTGGGGAGGGGGAATCGGTGCCAGAAGGAGGAGGAGGAGGACAAGGAAGAGGAGGAGAAGGTGGGTCTACAGCTACCTTTAGTGGGGTTGTGGAGTTGAGGAGAGAGAGATTGGAATGGGTAAGCGAGGAAGAAAAAGATGGGATTTTGGGAAGGAGATCTTTGTAGAGTAAAAGAGAAGGCTCGAGAGCTCGTTTGGAGAAGACGAAAATGGCGAAGAGGAAGAGGGTGATGAATAGGAGAGCAGTGAAAGTGTAGCGATTCTTTTGGGTTGTGGAATTGGATGTTGTTGTTGCCACTGCCATTTCAGCATTTGCTATCGAGTGAAGAGTGGAGGCTGTGTAATTGCCGAGAGAGAGAGACAGAGAGAGAGAGGCAGTGAACTTCCCGATGGGGAAATGGAATGTTTTAATTTTGTTTAATCAAATAATAGGGTTGTCTATTGTAAATCTTTCTTTGCTTACCTGCTTTTTTTCTTTTTCTTTTTCTTTTAATTCTTTGTTGATATAAAATAGATAAAAGTTAGAGATAACATTTACTAGTAACAGGAGCGAAACAGACTTAAAATATTACACTGTAACTATAGCACAAGAGGATAACAAATAAAGAAGGTACGAATAGATAATAATGTTATTGATCTTTCCTTTCTTTCTCTCTGTATTTTGATTGCAGTCGAATGCTCTATTTATAGAGCAACTCGCATTATTACAGGTTGAAATTTATGTCACACGACTTTGAAAATACAATCCTTTTGTTTCCAAAGTCTACATCTCATATGTGGGCATTGAAAAACCTATTTGTGGGCATCCATAACAATGCCAATGTTTTCAACGTTTTCAACACTCTCCCTTGGATGCCCATATATCAACTTCAGTTGTCTCGTTAAAACCTTGCTTGGAAAAACCCAGTGGGAAAAAACCATAGCGAAGGAAAAAGAGTACAACTTTACTTGGATTGTTGATATAGTGTTAAATATGCTTATGTTGCCTTGTTAAAACCTTGATAAGAAAAACCCAGTGGAAAAAATCCTAATCGAAGGAAAAAAAGTACAACATGCATGTATCATGGATGCTTCCCCTGATATATATATATATCTTCCCCTGATTCTGCATTCTCCAAATTTAGTTGTTTGGTAAGTCGACGTAATCCGATACTTTGCATTATCTTCTGAAGCGTGCACTTTGGTAGAGATTTGGTGAACAAATCTACTAGATTTTCATTAGAACAAATTTGTCTGACTTCAATAACTTTAGCCTTCTGGAGCTTATGTGCACTGAAAAACTTTGGAGATATGTATTTAGTCTTATCGCCCTTGATGAATCATTCCTTCATTTAGGCAACACAGGCTGCATTATCTTCATGAATGATAGTTGGAGTGTCTGTCTTTGAAGGTAGACCATATGAATTCTGAATATGATGGATCATTGATCTTAACCAAGAACATTCACGACTTGCTTCATGTAAAACAAGTATTTTTGAATGATTTGAAGATGTAGCAACTAATGTTTGCTTTGTTGAGCGCCATGAGATTGCTACATCTCCATTCTTGAACACATATCCAGTTTGTGAGTGGACTTTATGCAGATTAAAGAGAAAACCAGCATCTGCATGTCCAACAAGGAACTGGTCATTTATGGATTTCTTTGAGTAGAAAAGACCCATGTCTGTTGTCCCACGAAGGTATCGCAATACATTTTTAACTCCCTTCCAATGACGAATTGTTGGAGTAAAGCTATACTTTGCTAACAAGTTAACTGAAAAAGCTATATCTGGTCTAGTACATTGTACTAAATACAATAAAGCAGCTATTGCACTCAAATATGGTACTTCTGGACCAATGACCAGTTCATCATCTTCTTTTGGACGGAATGGATCTTTCTTAATGTCCAATGAACAAACGACCATTGGCGTGCTGAGCAGATAAGCCTTGTCCATGCTAAATCGCTTTAGGATTTTTTCAATGTAAGCTGATTGGTGGACCAAAATTCCACTAGCACAATGCTCGATCTGCAACCCAAGACAAAATTTTGTTTCCAAGGTCTTTCATTTCAAATTCACTTTTTAGGTATTCAGCAATTTTATTGAGCTCTTCAAGGGTTCCAATTAGGTTCATATCAACATATACTGCCATTATAACAAATCCAGAGTTGGATTTCATAACGAACACACAAAGGCAAATGACATTGTTGATATACCCTTCTTTAATCAAATACTCACTCACTAAGACGATTATACCACATTCGTCCATATTGTTTCAGCCCATACAATGATTGCCTTAATTTGATTGAGAGCATACCTCGTGGTTTGTTAGTTGTTTCAGGCAACTTAAGTCCTTCTGGGACGTTCATATATATTACAGTATCTTATTCTCCATATAGATACGCGGTGATGACATCCATAAGTCGCATGTTAAGTTTTTCTGAAACTACTAAACTTATTACATAACGTAATTGCATCCATTACAGGGGAGTATGTCTTCTCATAATCAATTATAGGTCTTTGCGAAAAGCCTTGTGCAACGAGTCATGCTTTATATCTTGCAATCTCATTTTTCTCATTGCGCTTCCTTGTGAATACCCATTTGTAACCCACGGGGTTTACACCAGGCGGGGTTTGGACTACTGGTCCAAAATCATTTCGCATTTCCAAGGAATTTAATTTTGCCTAGATTGCATCTTTCCATTTAGACCAATCTTGTCTCTGTTTGCATTCATCAACAGAGTAGGGTTCAAGATCATTACTTAATATGATTTCAGTGGCTACCACAAATGCGAGCATGTCGTCGATGATTATTTCATTATGATCACACAATTCATTAGTACAAGCATAATTTATGGAGATTACTTTGCTTTCATGTACCTCTGTTTCTTCAAGTACATGTGTCTCATCCAAGATATTTTCTTTTTCTGAAAGTACAGAATCATGAATTGTGGATGTGTCATTCATTTTTTTCTTCTTGAATGATTTCATTTAGATTCAATTGTGTCCTCGACTTTCTCTTTCAAGGGGCTAAATCTTTTGAACCTGGAGGTCTACCACACTTCAGGCGTGCACTTGATGAATCATTCACTGCACTTTATTTTGTCCAACAGGAGCATCAATTCCTGCAGGTGCATTTGCAGCTGGTATATATGATTTTGTCACTTTCATAGCATCATTAAATGCATCTAGTATTTGATTAGCAATACTTTGAAGATGAACGATCATTTTCACTTCATTTTCACATTGAGTGCTACGTGGATCAAAATGAGATAAGGTGGGAATAACCCATGTTAGTTCTTTCCGTTATTTTGGAACGGTCTTTTCTCCCCCTAACGACGGGAAGACTGTCTCATCAAAGTGACAATCAGCAAAACGAGCTGTAAACATAGCACCTGTCAAGTGTTCCAAATATCTAATGATAGATGGTGAATCAAAACCCACGTAAATTCCCAGTCAGCGCTGGGGTCCCATTTTAGTGCATTGTGGTGGTGTAATAAATACATAAATAGCACAACCAAAAACTCATAAATGTGAAATGTTTGGTTGATGCCCAAACACGAGTTGTATTGATGAATATTGGTGGTTGGCTATAGGTCTTAATCGAACCAATGATGCAGCATGTAAGATGACATGTTTCCAAGCAGAAATTGGTAATTTTGTTTTCATAAGCAGAGTGCGACTATTAACTGAAGTCGCTTGATCAATGCTTTTGCTAAACCATTCTGAGTATGGACATGAGGAATGGGGTGTTCAACATCGATGCCCAATGTCATGTAGTAATCATCAAAGGTTTGAGACGTAAATTCACCAGCGTTATCAAGTCGGATTGACTTAATGGGGTAATCTAGGAACTGTGCTTGCAACTTAATTATCTGAGCAAGAAGTCTTGCAAAAGCTATATTCCGAGTAGACAAGAGACAAACATGTGACCATCAGGTAGATGCATCAACCAAAACCATAAAATATCGAAATGGTCCACAAGATGGTTGAATAGGCCCATAAATATCCCCTTGAATTCTTTGCAAAAATGATGGGAATTCAGCATCAACCTTTAATTGTGATGGTCTAATTACCAACTTCCCTTGAGAATAAGCCTTGCAAGGGTTATCATTTGAGATAGCAATGTGTCTGCTAAATAATGGATGTCCATTAGAGTTGGTAATGATTCTACGCATCATGGTAGATCCTGGGTAACCCAGACGATCATGCCAAAGCATGTAAACTTTTGAATCAATGAACTTCTGGTTCATGACAGCATGTGATTCAATTGTCTTTATGTATGTATAATACAATCCACTCGACAAACCACGCAACTTCTTCAATATACGCTTCTGGATATCATTGGAGGTAATGCATAGATACTCCACATTTTCTGCACTTTTTGTTTCAATGTGGATCCATTTAAATGTATGTTTTTCAAACTCAACAAATTTTGAGTAGATTGAGTAGCGTACAACGCATTCTATATAGACAATATTGTTCCATTTGGTAACATAATCTGGGCTTTCCTTGAGCCTTCAATCACATTTGATTGCCCTAATATTGTTGTTACCTTTACTTTTGTAAGCATCAATCTTGAGAAATACTTTCGATCTCGAAGTATTGTATGCGTGGTTGCGCTGTCTGTAAGACAAATATCTCCGCTATTTCTCATGTATTGAGAATAACCATAGTTTTTATCCATGCTCTCTGAGTAAGGGAATCACAGTTAAAAGCAATTTATAATAGGAAATTTAAATGCCACTTTTATTGAATCTGAAATGCTAGTTTTTAAACTACAAGTTCAGCATAATAAAAGTACATTGAACATCAATGATTCAATCGGATTGGTATACTTCATTTCTCCTTTCCACCATGAATCGAACATCAATGATTCAATCGGATTGGTATACTTCATTTCTCCTTTCCACCATGAAGTTTGAGACCTCTAGGTGGGTAATGTTCAACTGTCCTGATAAGTCGCACACTGGATTAGGTATATCCATTGGTTTAGCCTGATTGAGAAAATTGGTCTCGACATCCTTCTCCTTGAGGGAGGCTTGATACAGATCCACTAGATGTTTTGGGGTACGACAAGTATGTGCCCAATGCCCATTGCCACCATACCTATGGCAGGCTCCTTCAAAGTTTCTGGGAGCATTGTTCCTTTGAGCTCCGCCTTTGTGGCGATTTACATTTTTGAAGTTTGGGCCAAAATTATGCCTTAGAACTTGGTTGTGAAACTAGACACCATGATTCTTGCCTTTCCCGTTCCACCCTCCTCGCCTGTGGCCACATCCTCGTTTATGATTATTGCCACCAAAGGATGTGGCGTTCACTTTGAGGGAAGCTGCATTCACTTCTGGGAATGGTGCAGATCTAGTAGGTCGGGAATGATGATTTTTCAGCAGAAGCTCATTATTTTGTTCAACAACCAGGAGCACAGCGATCA